CCCCAAAACCCCAAAACCCCAAAACCCCTTTTGTATAAAAATAAATTGATCTTTGAGAAATAAATTATTCGCAATATGTACCCAAAGAAGAAAAGTGTGAGCATGGTTCTTAAGAGAGAGCAAGATAAATTACATAGACGAGAACAAATGAAAGTTCTGCTTATCAATAAATTTAGAGTAAAGTACTCCCTTGGATCAAAGGATAAGGAAGAAAGAGATAAAATTATTTCAAAGGAAGTTAATTCTCTTGTTGATAGTAAAATTTGTACTGATAAACAACTTGTGGCATTGGATAAGAAGCTCACAGGGCTTTTTGGGACTAGAAATAAAATAAGTAAACCACACAGCTCTCAGAACAGCCGTCATTCGAGAGCATCAGCAGCTTTAGACCATACTCAGTCAGCTTTGCCGAATATAAATGCCTTTTCAAAAGCTGAAGCAGGATTAATATCACATAAAAATTCAATGAAGAAGCCTTTACATTGTATCAACAGCTCAGCTAATCTTAATGGCCATACTGTAGGGCTTAATAACGCAGAGGGTGGCCTAAAAGCCCTTGATGAATGGGGCATAATCATCATGGATGATGTAAAAAGATTTGAAAGAGAAGAAAAGCAAATTTTGGAGAATAGACGTAAAATAAAACAAAAAATTATGGATGATTTAAATAAACAAGTCAAAGAAAAAGAAGCTCTTAAATAAGAAGCAAAAGCAAGAAGAGATTGATCTCGAGAAAAAGAGACAAAGCATTTTCCGACAACAAGAAAAGCGAGAGAAGCAAAATGAATTGCTCAAAAGAATGAAAAGAGATGAAGAACGCAAAATAATGGATACTCAAATAGCAGAAATTGAGAATTATAAAAAGATTGAAATGTATCATGAAAAACTACAAGCTGATCATGAGAAAGAACAAGCACTTAAAGAGCTTGAAGAAGACCTTGAAAGCCAGAAAATGAAAAGAAAAGCTTATATAGAAGGATGTCAGAAACAGTACCAAGAGAACCTCCAGTTGAAGGAATTCATGAGACAAAAAGAGGCTGATCTTAAAAGACAAGCTACTTTCAAGCAGCACCAACTTTTTGATGGAATGTTTGAACAAAAGAAACACATAAGTTACGAGCTTGCTGACAGGAATCAGAAGAAGTATGACGCTCTCTCACGTATCCTTAAGCTAGAGAATGAGAGGAAACAGAGGGCCAGAAATTACCTAGAGCCCAAGACTGGAGGCACTGATATCGAAAAATAAAACCCAAAAAGAATCCCAAAAGAGAAAACTTAAACATCAAGAAGATGTCAAAGAAACCCTTGACTACTTGAAGGGACAAATTAGGTATAAGGAGCAGAAGAAACGGCTTGAAAAGGATGCGAAGTTCGACACCGGAGTAAGCACAATGATGAACGGTCGAAATAATTCCCAAAACATTGTCTTAGGTAAGTCTATAAAAATAAAGATTAATCAACACATCTCTCTTATCCTTTTAACACTTCCTTATATAGATAATACAAGCTTAATGAAGCTAAAAGCTAGAGAATTCCTTGCCAAAGAAGCTAAAAAGGAGACCCTTCAGACACAAAAAATTGAGTACAAAAGAGACTTTCGAAACCAAGGTATGATTTGACAAAATTACAGAAATAAATTCACAAAAATTGTCTTGACCGATTAGGAGTTAGAGAATAATATTGGGTGTGAACTTTTGCACCAAAAAAATAGAGATCAGCAATACATTAGCATATTTTTATTCCATTTTGACCAATCTGTGTTGGTTCAAAACTTCAAATATAAGGACTTCAAGGTTATAATGTTTGTAGGTCTAGGTAGGAAGAAAGGCCCATTCGGAGCTCAAGGATACCAAGGAATGACTGAGCAAGAGAGGTTGATGAATAAAAAAAGACTTGATGCAATTTTGTAAATGGTTGAAGCAATAAGTTCAATATTAAAAGAAAAAGAGGGGTTTTGGGGTTTTGGGGTTTTGGGG